AAAAAGTTATGGCAATTTTAAGTAAAAAAAATTGAAAAAATATCGAAAATTAGCGATTTTTAAATTTGTAATTTTTTGGGGGATTTCCCCCGTTTACGGGGAACGAGGGAATTTTTTTCAATTTTTGAGGGTAATGTCTTCGACTAGATACGATTTGTGATCTTTTGACATATTGTTCATCAAAATCGGTCCAGCGAGAGCTGAGATTGAGCGTTCACAGACACAAAAAAAAAAATAAAAAAAAAAACACATCATAGTAAAATTAATACCTTCTCAGCTTCGCATCGAAGCTAAAAAAAAACACATCATAGTAAAACCAATACCTTCTCAGCTTCGCATCGAAGCTAAAAGGACTTAAAAAATTCTACAGAAACTTAATTCAATATATTAATCCATTAATATAATATAATTTTATTTTAAATTAAAGGTTGTTGTCGTTTCAAAACACTTACAAAAATTTATGTGTAAAAAACAAAATGTTGACTGCATAAGCTCCCTGTACTTAGGTTTTTGATTAAATTTACATAAAACTCCATTGTAAATTAAAATTATTTTTATCTAGTATATTTGATATAATATTTNAAAACTCCATTGTAAATTAAAATTATTTTTATCTAGTATATTTGATATAATATTTTTAAAAGTCGTTAATTTTTAAAAAATTTATAACAATTTTAGAATGATATAAAAAAAATACTAAATTTTCTTTAATGGTTACTTTAATTCGAATTTCTAATTTTATATAAATTATTAAATTAAAGATTTTTTTTTATTAATTTTTAAAATTAATAGTTTCAAATATATTAAATTCGAATTCTTTTGACTTATAGTTCAGCAAAATCGGTCAAGTGAGAGCCGAGTATTTTTATGGACAGACACTATAAGAAAAAGTTAAATCAATATCTTCTCAGCTTCATATTGAAACATTAAGTATAATAGAAATTATACAGCGAAATACTGTAGACCCCTATTTAAATTCAAGTAATTCTCAGTGCTATAAATTATTTCTTTGAAATACTTGTATTTTGTATACATCTTGTATAGCATATGTATATACTGTTTAAGATATTATGTTAGTATAACACTCATGTGTTTATATATGTTTAAAAACCCATTTAAATCATCTAAAATGATATTAAATGAACATAGAATATTAATATGTATTTTTAGTTTAAATAACTATAATTATTTAAACTGTACATATCACATATATTAATTTATAAATAAAATACGAGATTAAACTTTATTTGATTGAACTGTTTGTAAGATACTATACTAACTGCGCATCGCAAGGCTTCATGTTACATCTGAGTACTTGTAGTTGTGGTTTTTCTAGACTATGACATCTTTTGTCAGGAACGATTTGTTGTTGTTGGTTGTGCTCTTTTATGCAAACCATTGTAGATGTTTGGAAACCTTATAGATGTAAATCAATTAAAAGTGCTATCAAGACTTGTTTTAATAAGTTATTTATTTTATAATCTTAAAAACTTCTATTATTTGACTGAAATTAGTGTTTAATAAATACATGATATATAATATGTTCATTAAGTAAGGGAAAGGGTTCCCTAGAGTTATTTATATACAGGATGACCAACATCTGGTAAGACAATAGTTTTCTCAAAAATGATTGAGAATTTTTATTTTCTATAAAGAGAAAAATATCAGGTTCAAGAATTTCTACAATAATATGTTATTAAATAATTTTTCCCCTACTTTTAACTTCAATATATTAAAAAAATAAATACTAAAAATTTAGTTCTTACAACTTTTTTATCCGATCAATGTTGGCGATTTATAGATTGTTTAAAGATTTAAATATCAAATAAAATTCATCATTAATTTGGTTTTATAATACCAGTGACAGTGCAATGGATATTTTTTCTGCCACTGTGGCGATAATAATGTTTTATCATAACACTGTTTGATAGGTCATAAATTATTTATTATGGCAGTTATCAAGAAAAATATTCAACACCGATTATCTAAATGAGAGATAACAATAATAATCTGTAGCCCTCGAAATGGATTATTGCTACTACCAATATTATAAAATCAAATCATTGATGAATTTTTACTTGAAATCTTACTAAATCTTTAATAAACACTATGTAAAACGCAAATGGTTGATTGGATAAAATAAATTCTAAGAACAAAATTTTTGTATTTTTTTCTATCATATAACAAAATTGAAAGTTGTGGTTCCTTTTAAGAAAATTATAAATAAGAATTTTTATTCCTGAAGGAGCGAAAAAAAAATAATTTAACTACATATTATTATAGGGATTTTTGAACCTAATATTTCTTCTTTTTAGAAAACTTTAATATTTTCNTATATATATATATATATATAGAGAGAGAGAGAGAGAGAGAGAGAGAGTGTGTTTTTAAGTAAAGAAACAGGTTTCTATTGTTTGTAAAAATTGTCTTGTTTCTTTCCTTACTAACTGAACATTCTGTATAATAACAATGTATGAACATAGTTATTTACTAGACACTTACCACCTCCACACGATTTAGAACATTCACTATAACCAGTAAGCTTCCAATTGAATTTTTTTTTTCTATTTTTTAAATGTGGCTTTGCAGCTTCATCTCCAATAAACCCTTGATACTCCGGAATACTATCATATGATTTATAAACATTTATTTTACTATAATATAAATTACAATGAAATTATTATATTAAATAAAGCCATTGATAAAAATAGGAAAACTCGTTTAAATTATTATATGTGACTGTTAAAAATTTAATCGAATTTCATTTTAATCAATAATTATACAAAATATATGTAAATCAAAGCAGTCTTACGTTTCTTCATTTTCGGTTGGAGTCTTTTCTTGAACATAGTTTTCCTCGTCAGATATCACACGATTACCTATTTAACGTAATTAATATTCGGATAACTATTATGTTTATTATTCATATATATTAATTAATATTTAAGCTTACTTAAACGAGAAGATGTATGCGAATGATGTCTTATTAAAGGATGCGCGATAGATTGTTCAACGGGAACGTCCAATGGTAATTTATACTCATATTTAATCCCAGGATTTATGTACCTAGATATCAGCTAAAATACATTTAAATTTTAAAAATAGTTATAATATTAAATATATGTTATATTTAATATAAGTTTGCAATTAAGTTATAACTATTTATTATTTAAACTTAAATTCATTATAAGTACATACTATTAAATCTACAGATTCCATTAAAGGACCTGGTGCAAATACAGTCTCGCCAAAGTTTTCATTTTCTTTCCTATAAGTAAACACAGTACCCGCTCCTTCATAATCTCCGGGCCAACTATTTGACCAGTTCCCATTTAATATATAAGATCCAATTGCATGTTTCAAAGCTGTAAAACAAACAAATAAAATAATTATACATTTTATAATTGAAGATCTAGTTTGTAACACAAATAAAAATGTGAAAAGTAAATAATTTACATTTTGTGTGCTTAATCAAATTTTTAAGAAATTTTCATTTTTAAGGAAATATTTTTATTTCAGATTGAAAAAAATTAAATAAATTTGACTTAACGTTCATGATTTATATTATATACAAAAAAATTTTTGGTCAAAGTATTATGGATTCGTCGGATTTATAAAATTATTAAATTGTGTTCTAATGCAGTTCAATTAAATATTTTCATGTACTCCAATTATTTTTTTATCTTTTTTCAAAAATTCTTTAAAATAGTTTGATTTTTATGTATATTCAATATATGTATTGTATAATGTATATTCGTAAAAAAGTTTCTATTATTGTAATAAATTAAAGCAATAATTATTTCTTTAACTTATATAGCCTAGTCGTCGATCAATGATGTTGTTAAGTATAAATAACTCTGTGAATTGTTACTTTTACATTTTAATATTATTGTGCATATGGCTAACTGTATTAATTTACACACCTATACTATTTGCTGATGGTTTTAATTCATGAATGGTTATATTACAAGCTGATTTAGGTAAACGAGTAATAAAATTATAGCCGCCAGGCATATCAAGTTTGGTAAAAATTCCAGATATCAATCGACACGTGCTGTTGTCGCCTCCGCACACACCACATCCATCAAATTTTTTATGTCCACCAATTGATCCATCGCAACCAACAACCTATAAAAATAAAATAAAAAGGAATATTTTAATATAAATAAAATAAAAAATTTACAATTTAAAAATTGTGTTTAATAAGCTTTAAAATATTATATAACACAATATAATATAGTATTGTATTATAATTGTATACTAGTTAGATATAAATAAAAATTGTTTGTTTAATATAAATGATAATTGTTTAGTCTTAAAGAAATATTCATTAGTCAACAGTTATAGTTCTGTAAAAAATAATAATAATCAAATTCAATTAGTAGGTATCTGTGATGTCTGATGTCATTACAATGCAACATACTTCATTTGCCTTATAATTCATTCATAAATCAAAAATATTTTATCGTTTCTATACTTCCGATTACTTTTACTATACAGAGTGATCGAAATCTGGTAAGACACTAATTTTCTCAGAAAATATTGAGAATTTCATATTATTGTAGAGTTTTATAAACTTAATAATTTTTCTTTTTACAAAAATTTTAAATTCTCTATAGTTTCTGAGAAAATAAGTGTCTAACCAGATTTCGATCACTCTGTAGACAGTGTCGTAAGTAGTGGTAGAGTTCTAAGGTTTTACATCCCTCCCCTGAAAACAGTTCAGATATAGAGTAGGCACATAACTCCCCATTGGTCTATTATCAATCTATAGTAAAAATCCTGCCCGATTTAAAATCTATGTGCGCTACTGACTGTAGAGATATGTTCCTTAAAAATATAACTATAATAAAGGCGGATATATAAAATTTACATAAATATTTTTATATTATCATTTTGTATTGTGTTCTTAATTTCAAAACAAGATATCTAAAAAGAATAGTAGATCTTAAAAGTATTTTTATTATATTGGCGTTCAATCAAACAGAGCGAACTCAAAGCTGACCATTTAATGAGTGTAAAAATATATTTATGTACAATTTGATAGATTAAGTTGAAATGTTCGCTTGGGCGTAAAAGAATATAGAATCAATTCGAAAGCTACAAAGGAATAAAAAGAGTTTTTACGGTCGTTTAAAAAATTCTGCATTGAAAAATTAATCATCATAAAAATATTAATGTAGATTGTATGTGAAATCAGAGTTGTACGGAGGTATTCTTTCTAATCAACTACTGTAGAGCGCTTTCAGAAGATACGATTGTTAGTTGGAAGTTAAAACAACATAAATCACCAGGGGAACTTGGCGGTTCGCGTGTTCATTCTCGATTAACTTCACAGTATTATTTTTGTATTACAAATAATTATGTAAAGATTTTAATCTCAAAATCTTCCTATCGCGTCTCAGTCATTTACTAGCTTGATTAAAAATACCAAATACTGCTACCTACATGCTATTCTTATTTATACCAATAAATAATAACACATTTTTATTTTCATGAATTATATCCATTCAACACACTACATTTTTTCATTTCAATATTAGTAGTGATACGTTATTATGTATGATATAGATTTAATTATTTGTTTTAAAAGTATAATTATACTTTCTGTATAATTTGTCCAAATATTTTATAATATAGATGTAACAATGTCAGTTTTTTTTTATTTAGAAAGTTGGTATTAAAACTTTATTTAGACTGGTGTATACAAGGAAAAGTTAAAGGTCCTCTAATTCTTTCTACACAATACATATGCATGATATATTGGAGAATACTAAATATGTTCTCTAAATATTTAGATAGATTCAAATAAAATCTTTTGAAATTCTGATTAGATTTTTAAATTATTTTTATAATTTATCACCGTGTAAAAACACATGATAATTTGAAGCTCACTTAAATTAGCAATCGATTGATACATTTTTAAATTAAGCGTCGTAATAATTTTCATGTTCATGGATACATCTCAAAATTATATTAATAAAAAGAAATTATAGTAAGAGACATAATTGTCAACATGTATACATGTTATAAAAGAATTTGTCATAGCGTATTTTCTCTGCTGTGATATTCTTTTGATTTTGGCGCTCTTTATCGTCGTTCATAACTAAAACCAGCACTGCTCCTGCCTTTTTTTATCATACGCACTTTAATAGATATGCACTTGCAAAGATATATATTTGAGCATTTTTAATAAAATCAATCATTAAATTTTAAATTTTCATAAGATTTTTGTAGAGCTACAAAAATATTTGTAATTTTTTTTTTCATATAGCCTAATATAAAAATACTGTTAGATGAGTATATGATGCTCGTACAACCTAGTTATATGTTTGTGTTAATTCATTCTCATTGTTGTACAGTATATCATTTGTTAACATGGAAATATGGTTTGGAATTGATGACGTTGTGTCACAATCAAAACAAGTGCACTATCGACATCATCAGAATTTATCTAATCGTTTTTTATTCGTCTAAGTTATTATACGCTACGTGTGTTCTCGTGCATATTTTTCCTGTGGTGTGCTCTACGCATTGAACTATTTCATAACTTCAATCGAACACACTATTATAAGTAAGAAGTTACGTCACACCACGTTTGTTTAACCGCCAAATATATTGACGAGCACTCATAGAAAATATCACATTAAGGTTTGAATAATTGCCGGTAACTGTCAAAATCTCGGTTGATATCAAATTTAAAACGTAAGCTTAAAACATCTAAATTTACTATATTTATTCAAAAACTACTAATATTCAAAAATTGAAAAAAAAAATTCATCGTGAAAGGGATGAAACCCTCTAACCTCCTAGTTATTTTTCTATAGACAAGATATCATGAATCGTGTGGTCTATAAAAATTGCTTTTTAATTACAAACAATAAACAATCAGAAAAGAGTTTTAACAAATAAACTTTTTTCTATATCATTGTAAAATATTTTTATTTATTTTTCAGGAGATATACATATATTTTAATTGCTTTCTATATCCTATTAAAGTTTATAGCGGCCTTGCCCAAAAAACAGATTTGTTCGTTTAAGACTTATTATTTAAAATAAATAAAAAATCTAATCTATTATACCAAATAATACAGAAAGTTCAATTTTTATTAAGCTTCTTAGCTTTGATGCAAGATGAAAAGGTATTATTTTATCATGATGTTTTTTTGGTCCATGAAAATTCTTAGATTGCACTGTGCCAATTTTAATGATTAAGTCATCAAATGTATATACAGGAAGGTTCAAGCAGACCTCCCATGTAAAAAATGTAAAATTTTTTTTTTAAATAGATTTTTGAAAATGTTACAGGACAAATGCGTTTTTCTAAAATATAGAAAATTAAGTCACTTAAAAAGTACTACAATATAAACAAATAATTATCACTAAGGTAGTTCTACTATGAAAAATCGATTATCAAAGTAAAAATAATTTTTTAATATTAATATTTTAATGAAACATTAAAATATGGATATTGTAAAATTACAAATATATAAATTATTATGAGATTTAACAGATTTGCATAAAAGCATTTTTTGCGAAAGTGATGTTAATCACTGTCAGATATACATACTTATCCCCACAGTACTACGTTTTTGAGAATAGATTTTATAAAAAAAATTTGGACAAAATCCTTTTTTTTGTTATAAAAAATTAATTGTTTTAAAATTGTCTAAGATGTATAACTAAACTCTTTTTTGAAAAGTATTTACTATAAAAGATTTTTTTGACTTATTGAAATATGAAAATTTAATAGGAATAATAAAATATGATGAAGTTAATAATACACGTGAGGTGTCAAATCTTAAATTCAACATCAAGAATTTTGAATCTTTTTATATAAATAAATCTTTATTGAGAAGGTATAAATGTTTATTAAAGTATATAATATGCGTTTTTGATATGGTGTAAAAATATAAGCTCATCACTGAGATCTGTACCCATCACTTGAGAAAAAGGTTTATAAGATTAGTATAAGTATGTTATTTACATGGACTATGGTACACCTACCTTTTTTTAGTAAATTCAAAGCATCAAAAAAAGCAATATAAGGTCTTCAAACAAGTGTGAATAAATTAAACTGAAATCTTTGAACATTACATAAATTTACATAATTATTATTTGAGTATATTTTATTTTCGTTAAAATTCTGTGACTATTTTCCAAAAGTTAATATATCAATTATTGACATTTTTAAGTAGAGCAAGCAGAGCTTATATAAAAAATAATAACAATTTTAAGATATATAAATATGTTTAAAATTATTTTATACCTAAAGCATCCGAAAATCTGAAAAGCTCTTACAAAATTTTTAGCTAATATGTTCAGTAACAGCAATAAAATTTAAGTGGCAGCACTTGAAAAATACTTGAAAGTCTTATTCAATTAATTTTGAACCCCAAAAAAGTCTCTCTAGGTATTATATTAGTCTCTTAATACAATAGGAAATGTTTTTATTATATATATATATATGAACACATTATGAAATAAAGTAGTTTATACTAGTAAAAATCATTTCTAAATAATACATAATAAATCAGTATATTATGAGTTATGAATGGGCGTGTACAAGTGAGTTGCTCTTGCTTTACAGTCATACAACAACATTTTGGTAGACATTATTGGATTTTTTAAACGCGTTTCCCCAAAATGCATTTTTTAGCATGATAGCCAATAGTTTATTAAAATAGTAATAATAATTTATAAATCAAATTAAATTAATATAATTTTACTTACGATCAAGACAAAAAGCAGGAACATGAAAATGTTAGCTCTTATATCCATGATAACACTATTATTTCGTTTTACTTTGGTATACTTAATACATAAACAATCTGACCCTTCTACAGCTGAATCATTTTTTAAAAACCTGCATTTTTATGGCAAATGCACACGTTAAATTATAACACTATCCGAATACAAAGCAAAACCAATCTAACTATAACATACATATTTAAACACTAATGTATATATTTCAGTATCAATTGTATAGTAAATTGATACATATCGTATTGCAAAAGGTTTAAATAATTTAAATACGAATTTTTGATTGCATATATAAATTGATATAAGAATAGTCCAAAATTAAATTAAACACTAAAATCAGAAATAAATATCATTAACAAAATTTT